GCCGCCCCGAGGCTTCGGCGAATGGGGCGGCTTACAACAATAAGTTAAAATAATTATAAATCAAAAATATAAACATTAAATTAAAAATACAGTATAAAATAAGCCGCCCTGGCCAGATAAAATCCAATAATATTAACAGTTAAAATGCCGCTTGAATAAAAAGGTCTTTGCCTGGCGCCGAAAAACAAATAACGACGGCGCCAGGCGGACCTCTCTGGGGAGTGCGTTCCATAGATGGGGCGCCACCGCAGAGAAAGCCCTCCTCCGAGTAACCACCCTCCTAATTTCTTTCACGGAGGGTTCCCGGAGAAGGGCCTCCCCTGCCGATCTCAAGGGGCGGCTGGGCATATATGGATGCAAGCGCTCCTTCAGGTAACCAGGACCCAAGCTGTTTAGGGCTTTATAGGTCATCACCAACACCTTGAATTGGGCCCGGACTGCAATGGGAAGCCAGTGAAGCTGACGGAGAACTGGAGTCATGTGAACATAACGCCCAGTCCCCGTCAGCAGCCTGGCAGATCTATTTTGAACCAATTGAAGTATCCGGACCGTCTTCAAGGGTAGCCCCACGTAGAGCGCATTACAGAAGTCAAGACGGGAAGTCACCAGTGCATGAGTCACTGTCGCGAGGCAGTCGTACTCCAGATAGGGGTGCAGCTGGTGAATCAGCCGAAGCTGGAGGAAAGCGCTCCTCGCCGCTGCTGTCACCTGAGCTTCTAGTGAAAGCTCTGGGTCGAGGAGCACTCCCAAGCTGCGGACCTTATCCCTAGGAGGGAGTGCAACCCCATTCAGGACAAGGTTCAATTCACCTTCTCCGAAGCCTGAACCGCCTACCAACAGGACCTCCGTCTTGTCCGAATTGAGCTTCAGTTTATTGGCCCTCATCCAGCCCATTACCTCGGCCAGGCACCGGTTCAGTACAGCCACTGCCTCACCTGGATTGGTGGAAAATGAGAGGTAGAGCTGGGTATCATCAGCGTACTGATGATTCTGCAGCCCACACCTCCTGATGACCTCTCCCAGCGGTTTCATGTAGATGTTGAACAGCAAAGGGGCAAAATGGACCCCTGTGGTACTCCATGGCATAGCTGCCATGGCGCAGAGCCATAGTCCCCCAGCACCACCTTCTGGAACCGGCCGTTGAGATAGGAGCGGAACCACTGCAAAGCAGTGCCTCCGACCCCCAATCCCGCTAGCCTATCCAGAAGGATACCATGGTCGATGGTATCGAAAGCCGCCGAGAGGTCCAGAAGAACCAACAGGGACGCACTCCCCCTGTCCTTCTCCCTGCACAGGTCATCGTACAGGGCGACCAAGGCAGATTCAGTACCAGACCCGAGTCTGAAGCCGGACTGAAATGGGTACAGATAATCAGTCTCATTCAAGAGTGCTTGGAGTTGTCCCGCCACCACTCGCTCTAACACCTTGCCCAGAAACGGGATGTTAGCCACTGGTCTATAATTAGTGGCCATCTCTGGATCCAGTGACGCCTTCTTCAGGACCGGTCGGACTACCACCTCCTTTAAAGGGGCAGGCACCCGACCCTCCCTCAGAGAAGCATTAATCACTTCCAAGATCCAGGTCCCAATCCCGTGCTTGGAATTATTTATTAACCAAGACGGGCAAGGGTCCAATAGGCAAGTGGTGGGATGTACTCGTCCAAGCACCTTGTCCACATCATCGGGCCACAATAACTGAAATTCATCCAATAATTCTGGACCAGACGGCGGCATTGGCGTCTCCCTTAAAACCTCTGAATCAATAGTGGAATCCAGCTCGTGACTGAGCGATTTTCTCCCTGAAATGCCTGGCAAAGTGGTCACAGAGGGCCTTTGAGGGTGGAACCAGGTCTTCTTTCGGACCTGGACGAACCAGGCCCTGCACCACTCGAAAAAGCTCTGCCGGACGGCATTGTGAGGAGGCAATGGAAGCGGAAAAAAAATCTCTTTTTCGCCGCCCTCACCGCCACAGCATAGGCCCGATAGTGGGCTCTCAAGTGTGTTCGGTCAGATTCATCCCGTGATTTCCTCCACCTACGCTCTAGCCGTCTCCCAACCTGCTTCATCGCCCTCAATTCAGGAGTATACCAAGGGGAAGAGCGGGCTCTGCCCAGTGGGAGAGGGCGCTTAGGAGCGATCGTGTCTGCAGCCCTGGTCATCTCCCCGTTCCACAGTTCGACCAGAGCCTCGACAGGAGCACCCGTCTTGTCAGCCGGAAGCTCCCCCAGGGCCTTCAGAAATCCTTCTGGATCCATCCGGCTCCGGGGGCGGACCCACACAATCGGGTCAACACCCGTACAGAGGGAGAGGTCGCTCTCGAGCACAAACCTCACCAGGAAGTGATCTGACCATGACAGGGGAGTCAAACATAAGTTGCTCACCCTCAGGTCATCCTCTTCCTGCCCCGTCGTGAATACCAGGTCCAGAGTGTGTCCACGTTCATGGGTCGGGCCGATGACATGTTGAGACAGCCCCATGGCCGTCATAGAGGCCATGAAGTCCTGAGCCGCCCCAGTCAGATCAGTCTTGGCATGGAGATTGAAGTCCCCCAGGACCAACATCCTGGGGGTCCTCAACCCCAGGTCCGAGACAGTCTCCGTCAGCTCAGGTAAGCAGACTGTTGGGCAGAAGGGTGCACAGTACACCAACAGAATCCCCAATCTGTCTCGGTCGCCCAACACCAAGTAGAGACACTCCAGCCCTGGCCTCGAAGGGACAGGAAGTCCCGTGAGAGAGATGGAGGCTCGGTAAACGACCCCCCCCTCCCCTCCCCTCTGGGCGCGAACAGTGCTGAACCAGATACCCAGGCGGGGACAGTTGGGAGAGAGCCACATCCCCCCCCCCGCCCAGGTCTCCGTTATGCATGCCAGGTCGGCCCCCTCATCCACAATCAAGTCATGGATGAAGGAAGATTTGTTATTGACCGACCCGGTGTTAAGCAACAGCACCATCAGGCCCGAGGGGCGGCTGACAAGACTCCCTGGCACCCTCTGGCTGGGAGCAAAACCAGAAGTAGGGACAGGTGTCAACCATCTGTCCCTCCTTCTTCTATGCGGACACGTTAAGCTCCCACCGCTGTTACATCCATTGCCCAAGACTACCCCAATGGCAGCGCCCGTGCGCTCCCCAGGAAGCGCAAGTGGCAACGTGGCCAGGGACGACTCCATAAAACAACTTAAAATAACATAAAATTATAAAAACAGTTATAAACTTACAATGACACGCAGCCCAGCAGGAAGGCCAATTATCACACAGGCAAACCAAGCCCCCTGGCCAGCCCAGCCCCCCGCTCGGCCCCCGCTCGGCGGCGACCACCGCCCTATGGCCGCCGGCCTTCGGCCGCCGGCCCGAGGCCACCGGCCCCGGCCGCCGCCAGCGCTTCTCAGGGCGCAGAGCTTCCTCCGACGCGCACCGCGCCCGGGCACGCCTCTCACGCGTGCAGGGCGTGGCGGCCAGTCAGGCGGTGGAGTCCGGGGCGCGGGCGTTCGCTGCCGCTGCCGGGCGCGCAGGTGTCTCTTCTGCCGTTTTCCCCAAC